GCCACCCCCCCCCCCCATGCCTCATAAACTGGGAATTTCCCACCCTTAGCAGTTCACGTAGGGATGTCTTAACAATCGTTGTTGCAATTTTATGTCTTTAACACAAATTTTGCAAACACATTACAAGAGTCGCCCGTTACAACATAACAATCAGATTGGCCCACACTGAACATATCACATGGGCATGACCTAATGATCAGCTGAGCAATTTTTAACACTTGTATGCAATGTTTGCATACATGATCAAAGAGTCATCCATTACAATCAGAACCACCCACACTGAACGCTTCACATAGGCATGACTTACCGATCATCCGAGCTATTTTGGTCCTTTTATGCAACCTTTGCACATATGATCAAAGAGCCATCCATTCCAATCAGAATCATACTGAGCGTTTCATGTAGGTATGCCCGCCCCTAATAATCGTCTAAGCAATTTTGTCCCTTTTATGCAATCTCTTCACACACAATCAAGAGTCGCCCGTTACAATCAAAATTGCCCATAGTGAATGATTCATGTAGGCATGCCCTAATGATCCTCTGAGATATTTTGGGCTTTTAAGTCAATCTTTGCACACACGATTTAAAGAGTTGCCCATTACAACCAACAATGCCCACACAATGCGTTTCACATTGGCATGCCTTAATGATCATCTGAGCAATTTTGGCCCGTTTATGCAATCTTCGAGAGAGTCACCCATAACAAATGGAATCACCCGCATTGAAAGTTTCACGTAGGGATTTCTTAACGATCGTTTGGGCAACTTAAGCACTCTTCTCCGATCTCTGCATGTACAATGAGAGAGTCACCTATAACAAATGGAATCACCTGCATTGAAAGTTTCACGTAGGGATTGAAATCGTTTGTACAATTTAAGCACTCTTCTCCAATTTCTGCAAGGACAATGAGAGTCCCCTGTAACAATTGGAATCGCCCACATTGAAAATTTCACATAGGGATTTCATAACCATCATTTGTGCAATTTAGGCACTCTTCTCATATCTCTGCGTGTATAATCAGAGAGTCGCCCGTAACAATTGGAATCGCCCGCGCTGAAAATTTTAAGTGGGGATTTCTGAACAATCATCTGTGCAATTTACGCCCTCTTGTCTGAACTCTGCATGCACGGTCAGAGAGTCGCTGATCGCTCACATTGAATTTTTTACATAGAGGTTTCCTAATCGACATATTGCAATTTTAGCCCTTTAATGAACTTCCTTTTTTTGCTAAACATCAGAAGACAAAAACACACAGCAGGCGCCAGTTTTCCGAAGCCACTAATCGTTCCAACGCTACAATAACCAGGCACGCAAAGTCAAATAAAGCGCTTTCACTTTTAAGACAAAAAAAATCATTAAATGGCATCGCTCTGGAAATTCCCCGAACCCCTTCAAAAATACTTGACAGCGCTCCAAGATTCCAGGCTTTCTTAACGTCCCATGGAAGAATGTTTAAAGTGTTTGCAG